CCGTTTCCATTTGTTTACGAGCCTATGTAATTCAGGCTTGATCCCGGATATGGTTCGGATTCTGAGTTTGATGGAGTCCTCCGCTGTTGTAAATAAGGTAAAAACTTAAGTCTGTCTGACATCTCGGATATGTAATTAGAAATATATTTTTAACGCTATTTTTTAATAAAATCTTTTTAAAGCTATTTTTATTTTTTTAGATTTTTAAAACACAATATCTACCGAATATACTCTAACATTTATCACAGTAACCTAAACTTCAAATCGATCCTAAAAAGGAGTAATCAACTGTCTAGACAAATGAACTAAATGAATCCATACCCACATTTCAGCAGCGTACAAGATTAATAGATTGAGCAATACAAATTATTCAGTTTTTGTAAAATAATATAAAGCAATATATGTATATAACGCTCAATCTATATATAGAAAAATGAAGTCATTTAGACGCAAATGTTTCCTTTCACACATTTATCAAACTTCTACTGCCCTTACTGCGATGAAAAAATATTGGGAGGGCTTGGTTCATTAGTAGTGAACCCAGCGTTTTCGCTTATTTAATCTACCAGACCGCTTCTTTAGAGCTCTACAGAGTAAGTAATACTGTATTGGATCATTCTGCTTATATATGCTACACTAAAAGGTGGAATCCCAGAAATGGTATTAAAGAAAACTATGGACATAAGATTTTAGGACAGTAGAATTACATATAAATATTTGCATCGCGCAATGCTCTTCCGTAAAGAATAAGGGACAAGGTCAGTTAGGCATAAATTAGCACAAAGCAATAACGTGCCATCTATATATAGCAAATGTAAACATTTAGACGCGAATATTTCTTTCACACATGTATCAAACTTCTACTGTCCTTACTGCGATGGAAAAATATTGGAAGGGCTTGGTTTATTAGTGGTGAACCCAGCGTTTTCGCCTATTTAATCTACCAGACCGCTTCTTTAGAGCTCTAATATTGTATTGGATCATTCTGCTTATATATGCTACACTGAAGGGTGGAATCTCAGAAATGGTATTAAAGCAAACTATGGACATAAGATTTTAGAACAGTATAAATACATATAATATTTGCATCGAGCAATGCTCTTCCGCAAACAATAAGGACAAGGTCAGTTAGGCAAAAATTAATATGAAGCAATAACCGGAATCTATATTTAGCAAATGTAAACATTTAGATGCGAATGTTTCTTTCACAAGTCCTCCTAATATTTATACATCGCAGTACCACAGTTATCCAAGTAAATGTGTACATTCTAAGGAACCATAACTGATTTAATGAGCCATTCGCGGTTTCACCTTGCTAGGGCGTGTACTTAGACATGCATGGCTTAATCTTTGAGACAAGCATATGACTACTGGCAGGATCAACAGTAGAAGTTTGATATACGTATGGAAGAACCATTCGCGTCTAAATGTTTTCATTATTCAAAATAATAAATAGCCAATATAAATTTCTCTTAAAATTAAAGATACTTCAACCAGTAAATCTTTTTAAAAGTAAAGTTTTTAAAGATAAAAATATATTTTGACCGAAGTATCTTTAATTTTAAGAGATATGAATGCCGGCCAGGCAGCCTCTGTCTTTACGATCATATAAACTTTGATAAACAAAACTCAAACGACGCGACAATCTGACTTTCTCTCAGAACAATTTCTGCTACTGCCTTACAGCCATGGATCTCAATGTGGTGGTTTCTCTACACCGAACGTCACCCCGATCGGTACGTAGGTTGTCTGGGGATGATTTGATGCCCCTGCATTTCCTCAAACAGGTTGAATATGAGACGTGCGACCGCAACAACGCTCCAGTTTGCAGTCTAGCACGACTCGGGAAGGTCTAACCCCACGAAGGAGCCCGCTATTCGCACCGCGAAATAACGGAAACACGACAAATATCGTTGCAATCCATAGGCGGGATTCCGACTTAGAGCTTACATCCTTGGAGTAGAGAGAATCATAAGAATACACTCGAACGAAATGGAATTATACCCGGCATCATAACAACAGACAAATAAGAAGACAACCCTGCCAACCAAGCCGATCTCCAACCCTGAAACAGAAAGTATTTTGGTAAATAAAATAGGATGTAGCCTCTGCCCATCTGTATAAATAGGAGAAACAGGAAGACCCTTAGAAGAACGATTAAATCAGCCTAAATTAACTCAATAGAAATATTTCTTTACTACTCTAGCGACCAACAGCAGGTGCACCTACCTCTCTTCCTTCTCCATGATGTCTACAAAGCTGAGACAATGGAACCTAATGGAGATCGTTTAAACGACTTGGGAATTATCTCTTAATACTGTCATATCCAAGTGAATCGTTTTATATGGTATTAATTTTATTCTCTTTTTAAAATTGTTTTTCTGTTTTTAGAAATTAAAAAACTGAAGCATTTGTGAATATGAATTTTAGATTCCTTTTTATTTATATTAAATTAAAGAAAATAAGTTACAAATGATAATTCAACTTTATTCTTCGAGGAAAAAAAGGTAACAACAGCCGTTGGATGCGTGCGCGTCTCGTAACATCACTCAAGCTCGAAGGACGCGTGCGGCGAGCAAAAAAAAAAATTATAGCTTTCTCTCCTTTCCTTTATATTACAAGGTATACTACAATGAATATAATAAAAAAGGATGGTCAAGATCAGACAGGAGGATCAGTGAATGGCCAGCAAATAGCGCTAGAACTGCTGTACCCAAAGGAAGGGAGATTAAACAGTGCTGCAATGCTAGCAAAGCTCAATCCACCGAACCTTGGGAAGGGGTTGTTTTATTTTGAAGTAGAGTCTGTTAGGCTCTCATTGACTCTGATTCCTCCCACAGATTCAGCAACTAATCTCGTGTAAGATCACATCACTACGTCCTCCTGTCCACCGGACCATCCGACCGTTGATGTCGCCTCTGACTTATATAGCCAGCACGGCGACTCCACAAGTCTCAAATGGTATTTAACGATTGCCTTATTTATACAGAAATTTCCCGATAGATTTCTATTTCATTAATTCCAAAATGATTAAAATTATCAAAGTTTTTCATGAATATTTACCCGCTTTTATTTTAAATTAGCTTTAACAATGTTCTTGTTCTGTCATATTAAAAATCAGTTATCTCCAATTTTAGAGGCTTAGATAAATATTTTCAATATTAGTAAATATAGGGGGTAAGGTTTAAAATGAGATATAACAGATTTTTGATAGATTTTGACTTTTTCCTCACACGTGGTTTTATTTAGAAATCTAACTCAGGTATTGGGAACGTACTGCAATCTATTAATAAAACTTAAAACTATTTCTCCCTATTTTAATTAATATTTTGCACATTCAATAATTACTATCACACATAACCTAATATTGATTATTTCTATTTTATAGTATTTATAAAAATACAATAAAATATTGTGAATATAGGTGATAAGTTTAATCATATATAAATGTTCTTTCTAATTGTAAATAGTGGAACACTTCACGATTTTGCGCGTCATCTTTGCGCAGGAGCCATTGCTAATTTTCTCTGTATCGTTCCAATTTTATAATATGTCCCGCCGAACAAGCGTGTACATGTATGTAATTAGTGGATGTTGAAAGTACTTACTCCTGTTTTTAAAGAGTTGAAGTTGAGTCTCTTGGATTATTAACACTGTTTACAAATCGCACAAACAACAATATCATATGATGGAACACCTCATTCTGATATCAAAGCCAAGGTAAGCAGCAGAGAGACAAGCATGGTTCTGTTCAATATGGAAGAATCAAGAGTGTTATGTATATCCTGCAAAATGGCGACAAAAGTGTACTGTGGATCGCCAACGCCATCCGCCGGATGCGTCGGTCCACGTGTGCTGACGTCCACTCTGACCACACCAGTTCCCTTCAATCGCGCCACATTTCCTTGTTCAGTCATCTTCGCCATAGCCAGTTCACTGTGGACACGGCTGTCTGTCAGTACAGATTTGACGTATGGACAACCGGCCATTCTGAGTCCAATCTTCTCTCGTGGAATCGTCTGTCTGCTGGAACTGGCTGGCGTGGCATTCTCTGTTACTAAACGTTTTTTTCCGAGTCAAGAGACAAAAATTTCAAATACTTTCCTTTTCAAACATTGAAATGTGAATATTTCCAAATTTGCAAGTTCTTTCTCTTATATCTTAATCAGCATTCGCGGAATAACTGCGCGATTTTTTATCATTTACATAACTCGGTAGCTAACTTCACTCTGTAATTTGCATATTTTTCTTCCCAGTAAATTTTGGTATTGCAAATACAGAGTCCCGCAGAGTGTATAATGTTTTTTTTTATTCAATAGATAATATCGAATCAATAACTATATAAGTATTTTTAGATCTAATTATATTATTATATTTACATATATATGCACTATATATACACATATTATTATAATTGTATATAAGTTTTAACTAAATCAATAAGGAATCTAGGTCTTGGTTTCTTTTCGTAATTCTTTTATTTCTCGAATTTTCGGGCTAACATGCGCCGTTCAACACGTAGACACAGAAATACCACTTCTATCTTATTTTTTAATTAGGTAGAAGTGGTACTTCTGGTGTTCCCGTGTTGGAGGGCATGTTAGCTAGAAAGCTCGAGAAATAAAATAATTAGGAAAAGAAACCAACCCTAGATTCCTTATTGATTTAGTGAAAATGTAAAAGCAGGGGAAAATCTTTATCATTACATATAAGAGCAATATAAAAATGGTGTTTTAAATTATTTTACGTAGGTAAATAATATATTTCACTTTAAATAATATCAAACGCCTTTTGAATATGGAAAATTGCCATCCAAAATTTCGCCCATTAATATTGAGATAACTAAGATGAACAATGGAACTAGGAATGAAATTTAGAAAAGAGACAGGGAAACTTAACTCCAACATTGGTGCCAACCTGCATTTGTATTTAGTTAAGGTTAATTGACAAAAATTGTTAAATTAGTCTTCTAACTCACAAATTATTTTTTAAAAAAGGAGTTCCCACGCCTGGAATGGAACCCGGGCCTTCTGGGTGAAAGCCAGATATCCTAGCCACTTGACCACTTGGGAGTAATAATAAATAAATAATTCAAACTTGTCAACCAAATATGATGGGAAATCCAACAGCGACATTGAAGCTTGGTGATACAACTCTTGATTGGAAAATCTGCGAACAATCACTTGTAGCCTTCTCCAATGTGGAATTGCTAACTACTTGTGAGGGCTGTCCTGTCAAATCGAGTGGATAACAAAGTTGCTTCAAAAATTGAAAGAATGAGAAATTATGAAGCACTAAATGGTCAACTGGATCTCCAGTCAAACAGCCGCTGTTGACAAATAAAGAGGGTTACGAGCCTTAATGCCATCTGAAGACTGGAAAGTATATATTGTCACAAAGGACTGGACCAAAATTCAAAGAAGATAACCATCTGGTGAGATAACCCAAACATCTTGGATAAGTGAAGTAAGGAGAGAATTGTTAGATTGTCTTTGTCTTATCATCGGGCAGACGTCACCACGTACTGCGTGTCTCTCTGCTGCTTACCTTGGCTTTGATATCAGAATGAGGTGTTCCATCAAATGATATTGTTGTTTTTGCGATTTTTAAAAGGTGTCAATAATCCAAGAGACTCAACTTCATTTTTTTAAAACAGGAGTAGGTACTTTCAACATGCACTAATTACATACATGTACACTACATACATACATGTACAACGCTTGTTCGGCGGTACATATTATAAAATTGGAACGATACAGAGAAAATTAGCAATGGTTCCTGGGCAAAGATGACACGCAAAATCGTGAAGCGTTCCACTATTTACAATTAGAAAGAACATTTATAAATGATCATCTATATTCAGAATATTTTATTGAATTTTTATAAATACTATAAAATTAAAATAATCAATATTATGTTTTGTGTGATAGTAATTATTGAATGTACAAAATATTAATTAAAATAAGTATAAATAGTTTCAAGTTTTATTAATAGATGGCGGTACGTTCCCAATACCTGAGCTAGATTTCTAATTAAAACCTCGTGTGAGGAAAAAGTCAAAATCTATCAAAAATCTGTTATATCTCATTTTAAACCTTACCCCCTATATTTACTAATATTGAAACTATTCATATAAGCCTCTAAAATTGGAGATAACTGATTTTTAATATGACAACAAGAATATTGTTAAAAGTTAATTTAAAATAAAAACAGGTAAATATTTATGAAAAACTTTGTGAATTTTGATCATTTTGGAAGAAATGAAATTGAAATCTATCGATAAATTTTAGTATAAATAAATCAATCGTTAAATACCATTTGAGACTTGTGGTGTCGACGTGCTGGCTATATAAGTCAGAGGTGACATCAACGGTCGGATGGTCCGGTGGACAGGAGGACGTAGTGGTGTAATCTTACACGAGATTAGCTGCTGAATCTGTGGGAGGGATCAGAGTCAATGGGAGCCTGAAAGAATACTAAACGGCTCAAAATAAATAAAACAATCAAACACAACCCAATTACCCAAGGTTCGGTGGATTGAGCTTTGTTAGCATTGCAGCACTGTTTAATCTCCCTTCCTCTGGGTGCAGCAGTTCTAGCTCTATTTGCTGGCCATTCACTGCCCCTCCTGTCTGGTCTTGACCATCCTTTTTTTTTAATTATTCATATTCACAAATGGTTTAGTTTTTTTATTTTTAATTTCATTTCTATAAAAGCAGAAAAACGATTTAAAAGGAGAGAATAAAATGAATATCATATATAACGAATAACTTGGATATGACAGTAATAAGAGTTATATTCTTCTTTCTTATCTCCACTCAATCATATTAGGGTGTCAAGCTTGTAAAGCTTGAGACTTTTGATGGTGTCTGACGGGATGAGTATAGCATATCAATGGATCAGGTAAAGTAAAATGTGTCTGCCTTTGTCATTAAGACTGGGAGCACTACTCAGTAGCAGGCCGACTTAGTTCCAAAAGAAATGGCCGCCTCTGACATGAGGAACAGACGCCATGTGCAGCCACTCCTAACATGGAGTACAAACGCTGCTCATCCTGTATCCCTGGATTAGGAGACCTTACAGAGTACTATCAGCCAGGCAGCTGAGCTCGGGTTTTTTAGCGAGCTTGTTACTGCTCCCCCTCCTCCTTTTTCATCCGGTCTTGGGACCGGCGGAGTTAATAAGAGTTATAATATAGATGGAAATTTTGCCGGGAGGATATTGATCTAAAGAGACAAAGGTCGCCTTTTCCGTCAAAATTGGCGTCTAGTTTTGACGTCTATTTTGACGTGAGAGGCGACCTTGTCTCTTAAGAGTTATAATATTAGATCGTCAATTTTTAAAATAATTTTCGCGGAGATTTTCTCCAAATAAATTCAGACGTTGAGTCTTTGAATGACTTTCAAAAAGGTTTTATTCAATCAACAAGCGGTGTGGTCTCCTCAGGCCACGAGTCACTCTCTCCTCTACTAGCACAGGCAGAACCCCCTGTTTATAACGTAAAAAAAAACAATGAAAAAGAAATGCAAAATATCTATTTACATAAAAAAAGAAAAATGTAAAGTATTTATTTACATAACGCTAACATACAACAATAATATTGACTTTCAGAACACAAATACAGAAGGGGATGATACATTTTCAATATAAAAACCTCTCAATCAAGAATACACTCTATGTTTATCTTATCACCCACCAGGCAAGCTGTCTACCACAAACCCCCTCTATATATTACTTAGAAGACCAACTTTTCTCGAAAACCTTCTTGTTTGTTTAAACTTTTCATGAATGGAAATTTTGCCAGGAGAAGATTGATCTATAAAAATAAAGGTCGTTTCTTCCGTCAAAATAGATGCCAAAACGTTTCGCCCCTCTGTTGACTGTCTCCGCAAACTAACGAACTCGGGTCGGTGACAAAGTTACATTAGCTTTGTCAAATTCAGAAGCGTCCAACTAAAGTCATGGTTTTGGGCTTCTGGCCTTCGTCAGTTCAGAGTGTTATGTAATTAAAGTAAGTAAGAAGGACGTAACCAATTTAACTTTACATATTATTTATTATTAATAGCAAATTATATGAAACAAATATTGGTATATATGTCTACATGAAAACAACGAAAGCGATACCAAAATATTATATACATACAAGTTCCTTTTCAAACTCAGTCTCATCTATAGCTATTGTTACTCTGTAATATTCCTACACAGAGTTGGTTGGACTGACAAGGGCCATTAGCCCGAAACCATGACCCTAGTTGAGGGCTTCTGAGTTTACCAAAGCTAATCTTGTGGCTTTGTCTCCTACCCGAGAACGTTAGTTTTAGTGACTATTTTAACGGGAGAGGTGACCTTAATTTGATAAATAAACTTATTGTGTTAACTCTATTTAGAAACTTTTTATAAAAACCTTAATAAATTTAGTTATTGTAGAGATTCATTTTTAAAAAATCGAATTTGATATGCCATAAATATTTAAAACCTTTTTATTTGAATTCATTTCTCATGAAAATTTATACTTTTTAATTAAGGTACCATATTGATTTATTTCCAAGCCTCCAAATAACTTTTCCAAAGAACCTCCAATCTAGTCGGTTTCTTAGGTCTCCAAATGTACAGGAATCTATGGAAACGGTCCATTATGTATGATCATTGAATATTGTCGCGGAGATAAATAAAGCAAGGGCAAATTTGGGAACAATTAATTTATTATAAATGGTATTTACCTTCTAGTTCTCCAATAAAATTATTTACAAGAGGTATTTATAGGGAGAGAGAGAGAGAGAGAGAGTCAGATAATAAAACAACATCTCAAGGTAAAGATAATAATAATGAGCGGCATCAGCCACCAAGGGGTCCCGTTTTCCTTATTTGCAGATAAGATTCCGAGAACCCCTCACACCTGTGGTCCCTCCCGGGATCCAGGGATGATTGACAGGTGTCCCATCTGGATGGAGCTTCTTGACAATATGGAATAGCATAAATTACCGTTTCTATTTGTTTACGGGCCTTTGTGATTCAGGCTTGATCCCCGGATATGGTTCGGATTCTGAGTTTGATGGAGTCCTCCGCTGTTGTAAATAAGATAAAAAACTTAAGTCTGACTGTCATCCCGGATATATACGTAGTTATAAATATATTTTTGAACGTTGTTTTTAATAAAATCTTTTTTTAAAGCTTTTTTTTTTATTACATATTAGGTTGATTAGGGACAATATTCAAAACACAACGTTTTTACCGAATATAATCTAACATTTATATCACAGTAGCCTAAACTTCAAATTAATCCTAAAAAGGATTAATCAAATGTCTAGACAAAATTAACTAAATGAATCCATACCCATTGCAGCAGTGTACAAGATTAATAGATTGAACAATTCAAATTATTCAGTTTTTGTAAAATAATATAAAGCAATATATATATGCTAAAACTAATTAATTTGCATAAAATCATCCGCAGATCACGTGACAAAGAGAACCCATCGAGTGAGACTTTGCGAAAGCAAAGTATGGTATAAAAGGCACGGCGGGATGGCCGGTACGGGGGATTAGTAAGATTCATGTAAGAAGATAGCAGTGCCATAGCCTAGGAGATAGAAAACTCGAGCTCAGATGAAAAGAATAAAAGGTTAAAGAAGTTTATAAGAAGCCTGCTGTGGAAACTGAAGAGGGAAAAAGAAGTAATAAAGGGCCCGTGGAAAGAGTCTGTTGAAGAAAGTGAAAAGGCTGAAGTTGAGAAAAGTCAGGTAAAAAAAAAGTGAAAAAGCTAAAGTTGGCAAAAAGATAGATCTGCATAAATAGTTAGGGAAAACTGCTCCAATAGTTTAATTCATTTTATGTATCATTTCATCATAGAAAATAAAGCCCATTTTCTTAAATTCATTAGATATTCTCGCTCATTTACCTCCGGAATATCACCTACCTATCGCTACTGTAAAAACAATAGTTAAACACAAAAATTATTTATTTAAATTATTAATTGTTCTATTCCCAACCATAAATAACGTGCCATCTATATATCGGAAAATGAAAACCATTTAGACGTGAATGTTTATTTCACACATGTATCAAACTTGTA